CACACACACACACTCTCTCTCTCACACACTCTCTCTCTCTCTCTCACACACACACACACACACACACACACACACTCTCTCTCTCTCTCTCTCTCACACACACACACACACACACACACACACACTCTCTCTCTCTCTCTTGATCATGTACTCATGCGAGCTCTTCCTGACTCCAGCTGTGGAGTCCTGTCCTCTGTAGACATTATATTAGTGATTTCTCTGAGATCTTACATGTTCACAGTGTTATGTCCTGCTCAGAGCACATGCAGGGCTTTTCAGAGACTCCGAATGATTGGAGGTCATAAACACTCCCTCTCCTCGGTCTTTAAAAATGACTGACTAACTTAGTGATCAAATTTTGTAATGATCATTTAAATCTGACAAATTTTCATAAATCAACATCTCAGGAAAATGTTATGGGGTTTCAAATTAAAATATGACGTTCTGTTATGAAACAGGACATTGATTTGATTCATGTCCACTGCAGAGACAGCAGGACTAAACCTGTGTTTATTACGCATTCTGGGAGACACAAGAAGTGAATAAGGAAATAAATTATATTTCAATAGTCCTATGAAATATTAGATATTATTGTCTACATCTTGCCAATTATCATCATTCTGTTATAAAATCCCACTGTTTTTGCCTTTTGATGTCTTTTAATTTCTTTAAATACAGGACTTTTTAAAGTGTCCAGACATAGCATAATATATGAATAAAATATTTTTCATTTTCATTTTCTTAAGCTCTAAACAATATAATGACATGACAAATATTAATTACGTTTTTTTCTGGTAGTTAGGAGGATATTTATGTCATCATGAAGCTTTTCAAATGTCATAAATCCATCATGATGTATTAATAAACAAGTAACATATATGCAAATTCACAAAACCCGTTTGCCTAAATATTTGAAACGAGACAAACAGGCTGATCCAGGACAGCAGCACTTCTGCATTTGTTTCTGAGGAAAGCTTGAGAGGAACCTGAACAAAGCTCACTTCTTGTGTTTTCCTCATTTCTCAATAACTACTCTGAGCTTATCTAGTATTATCTGAGCTGCTCGAGTGGCTAGTCAAATAAGGTAAGCTTCAGGCCTCACGTGTCAAGACGAAGCTAAAATTAACCCAGCGAACAGCTGAGCGCTCGAGCGTGTGTGTGAGTGTGTGTGTGAGAGAGAGAGAGAGAGAGAGTGTGTGTGTGTGAGAGAGAGTGTGTGTGTGTGTGTGTATATACACACCCGCGGCTCGAGCGTCTTTGTCTGCACGCGAGCTGTGGCAATACCAGGATGACACGATTCTCTTACGCCGAATATATCGCTTTATTTCGATCGAGTGACACTAAAAGAAACTCGTCGCCGCAGAAAATATCATCATCTGGACGCGCTGCAAACCGCGACGAGGAGCCGACAGAGTGAGCCCTTCAGTGTGTGTGTGTGTGTGTGTGTGTGTGTTTATTATCGCAGCTAGCTCATTAACAGAAAACAAATCTCAAATGAACTGGGTTGAGTTATAACAGGTGTGTGATTTGCCTGCGTGATCTTCAGCTGTCATTAGATCGGAGGAAAGAGACTCTTATTCCTCTTTTGGAGAGACCGGGGCTAGTTGTCACACGTACTCTACTGTAAACACGGTGAGCGCTACAGCCGGTCAGTTGTCCGATGGGGTAAGTTGTCACAGTGGAACTGCTATTAAAATCCATATCACGGCAAATGTAAAGAGTGAAGCGATTATGAAACACAATTAATTAAACAGACAAAGGAAATATACAAAAAAATAAAATAAAATTTGGCCAACGGAGATGTAAAATACTGTAAACGAATGAAGTAAATGAAACGCATGTGACAACTTGCCCCGATCTGACATGAAAATGACCCTTGTCCTGAAAACAGCTCTGCGTTCAGATCCGTCTTCATGACATACTGATTCTTGTCTAATTGTATGTCTGTGTGTTTATTTAGTTCACTTAATACTCAACATATATTGCTGACATATGATGATACTGTAAATGTAGTCTAGATGACAGAATTGACTAAATTTATTTCCATTTAAGACCTTTTTTAAAAAGCACAAACGTTTATGAGATAGTTAGACCTTATGGCAAAGGCCCTGTGTGACAACTAGCCCCAGCCTCCACTATAACAGACAAACACTGATTTTTTTTTTTAATTAAGCAATCAATATCCAATTTCTTCTTAATGCTCCTGATCCTCCAGAGTCAGCTCTGCCGTCAGAAGAGCTGAAGCGTGTGAGTCAGACGACTGGACGGCTCTGCATGAAGCGGCTCACTGCGGCCAGACACACTGCGTTCAGGCTCTGCTGACAGGTAAGAGCCGAGGAGACACCTGTCCTAGAGAGAGCGCTGACAGCTGCATCAGCTTTGGACAAAAGATACGTGACCCCGGGGTTTGAAGTGTCATGGAAGTGTTTTCTCACAAATCTTTCTGAGGAATTTGCAAGAAAACTTGTAGAACGTGTCGAGTTACTCTGATGCTGTGGCTTGGCCCTTACGTGTTTGAGTGTGTTAGTCAGTATTGGTCATTGCAGTGATCTAGCAGCGTGTGCTGATGAAGCGTGTTCATGTGTTGTGTGACAGATCCTGGCGTGTGTGTGGACAAACGCACGCTACAGGAGCAGACGCCGCTGATGCTCGCCGTTCACGGAGGACACCAGGAGTGTGTGAGGAGTCTTCTGGAAGCAAGAGCCGACCCTGACATCAGCAACAAGAACAAAGAGACGCCGCTTTATAAAGGTAAAACAATACTGTTAATATTCACCTCAATTTAGTTCAAGAACAATGTCAAATAAAAATGTGCTGTAAATGTGCTCATCCTTAGTTCATCACAAGATGAGGAGGAGTTTGTTTCTTCATCAGGTTTGTAGAAATGTAGCACTGCATCAGTGTCTCAGCAATGGATGCTCTGCAGTGAATGGGTGCCGTCAGAATGAGAGTCCAAACAGCTGATAAAAACATCACAATAATCCACAGCACTCCAGTCCATCAGTTAACATCTGGAGAAGACAAAAGCTGAAACACATCCAGCATTAAGACCTTTTTAACTACAATACCATAGAGTCCATAATCCATAATAACTCTTCCTCCGGTGAAAAACTCCATCTGCTGTTGTCTCTCTCACATTTCTTCAGAGCTGTTTAAACGCTGCTTGATCTGTGCAGATTTCTCTCCTGATTCACACCAGAACACTGACTCACTGGAGGAAGAGTTATTATGGATTATGGACTCTATGGTATTGTAGTTAAAAAGGTCTTAATGCTGGATGTGTTTCAGCTTTTGTCTTCTCCAGATGTTAACTGATGGACTGGAGTGCTGTGGATTATTGTGATGTTTTTATCAGCTGTTTGGACTCTCATTCTGATGGCACCCATTCACTTGCAGTGAGACACTGATGCAATGCTACATTTCTACAAACCTGATGAAGAATCAAACTCATCCTAATCTTGGATGGCCTGAGAGTGAGCATATTTTCAGCTAATGTCCATGTTTGGGTGAACCGTTCCTTTGAGGCTCAAGTCAGATCAATGTTGATTCAAGTCAGTCATCATCCAGCTGAGTTGAGTAAGTGTTTTAAGCCTCCGTCTTCTCTGTGTGTGGTGGTGTTTAGCGTGTGAGCAGGAGAGCATCAGCGTGGTGAAGCTGCTGCTGGCGTCCGGTGTGGCGGTGAATCAGCGCTGTTATCGCGGCTGGACCGCTCTGCATGAAGCAGCGAGACGAGACAACACTGAGCTCTGTGAGGCGCTCCTGAGGGCCGGAGCCGCTGTAGACCCCCGCAACACTGACCACATCACACCCGCGATAGAGGCGGCTCGACACGGACGCACAGGAGCGCTGGCGTACCTGATCCAGAGTGGTACTGAGCGCCGGGTTTACTAGCAGGCTGCTTGAGGCTATAGACTTGGATTCTCCCTGACATGCAATCATTTTGAGATCTTCTGTTAATCTCAGTAGCATTAGGCACTTCACTTGGGTGTCCTGTGACTGTTTCTAAAAACTTCAGCACAAACTGTGTTTTTGTAGTGAGAGCTGTGTTATAAAGTGTTCTCTAACAATAGCTAGTTCTAAACATGTCAAATGTCTGTTTTCCCTCTACAGATTAGTTATTTTTTACAAACTGAGTAAGCTGTGAGGAAACATTTACTAAACCACAAAAATACTCCATCGCCAGACAGAGCCATCAGTGTGATTAGCTAGAGTTTATGATCCATTTGATCTATCAATATGGTTTAAAGGTGACATATTATGCCCCTTTTTACAATATGTAATATAAGTCTCTGGTGTCCCCAGAATGTGTCTGTGAAGTTTCAGCTCAAAATACTCCACAGATCATTTATTATATCATTTTGAAAATGCCTATTTTGAGTGGAAGCAGAAACATGCTGTTTTTCGTGCTTGTCTCTTTAAATGCAAATGAGCTGCTGCTCCCCGCCCCCTTTTCCAGAATAGAGCTGCGCCTTTACAGCTCGTATCTGCTAAACACATCTGTTTTGGTTCTGATGATCATGTTTATCACACTGATATCATGCATTTTAAACCATATGAGTTTAAACTTCTGATATAGGGTTTTCTGAGCGCACACATCCGAAGCACACGCACAGAAAGCGGCTGTCACGGCATGTGAGCACTAAACTAAGTTCTCATTCACACACAAGTCTACGTTAAAAACACACGAGTTACAAAAACAGTGGGTTATGTCTGTGAAGGTAAACAGCTGGGAAATAAATCGCATGTTTATTTTAGATCTGTGTGGCAGCAGCAATATACAGTAAATACATCAATAAATGCTCTGCTCTGTCGTCTCCTCTGAGGCTGGGACTCTAAACAGTGTTCTGTGCTCGTCTGTGCAGCCAAACACAGAACAGTTAGCATGCTTCGCTCAGACTTTCATCATGGCATTAGAACTAATACACCGGTGTCGCTTGCGAAATCAAAATGATGGCGCCGTGGGTGTAAACTTACAGATTAAGGGGCGGTTATATTATAATGAGATCCCTTTGCAACGTCACCAAGTGAGAGAAATCAGACGCGCTGGTTTTCTCAGACGCTTGCAGAAAAAGGCTTCCCAAAACAAAGTTACTGGGTTCATCTTTTTCAGGTTTTCTTGGTTGGTAGATGCACCGGAGACCTGATTATAGCACTTAATACCTGGAAAAGTCAGATTTTCATGATATGTCACCTTTAAGTCTGAGTTTTTAAATTGAAGTTAAAATTTATATTTTACGCTGACATGAATATAACTAAAAACAAAGACTTAGTACAAAATAATTAGACCAGTGAGCCGCGGTAGATATAAAACACAGAACAGGAAATAATTTGTGTTTATAAGACATTTATTTCAAAATATTGAGGGATGGCTTCTAAAACCAAAAGAGTAGAAACACTAGAATGCTGTGTTTGTCCCGTCAGGTGCTGGTGTGAACGCTCAGACGTGTGACGGGAACACAGCTTTAACCCAAGCCTGCAGACACGGTCACACAGAAACTGTCAAGCTTCTGCTCAAACATCACGCTGACGCCAACAAAGCCACCGACACCGGCCTTCTGCCTCTGCACATCGCCAGCCAGCACGGACACAAAGAGTAAGAATTCAGTCCAATCTAGAGAACTACAGCAGATGTCATGTGGTGTACAACAGCTGCGCCTGCCGCCTCTGACACATGTGACGAGAGCTCAACAGCTGGAGTCCAAACACAGCCACTAGAGCTGACCACATGATTACTGTAACTCCCAGCTGTGCTTTACACCAACAGCTCACACGAACATGAGAACTCGATGAAGATGTGCTCACCCTCAGTTCATCACAGATCAGGATGAGTTTGTTTCTTCATCAGGTTTGGAGAAATGTAGCACTGCATCAGAGTCTCAGCAATGGATGCTCTGCAGTGAATGGGTGCCGTCAGAATGAGAGTCCAAACAGCTGATAAAAACATCACAATAATCCACAGCACTCCAGTCCATCAGTTAACATCTGGAGAAGACAGAAGCTGAAACTAATCCATATGTGTTTAGAGCTGTTTTGGCTTGATTTGTGCAGATTTCTCTTCTGATTCAGACTAAGAGTTATTATGGAGTATGGACTCTATGGTATTCTAGTTAAAAACGACTCCAGGCTGGATGTGTTTCAGCTTTTGTCTTCTCCAGATGTTAACTGATGGACTGGAGTGCTGTGGATTACTTGTGGATTATTGTGATGTTTTTATCAGCTGTTTGGACTCTCATTCTGACGGCACCCATTCACTGCAGAGCATCCATTGCTGAGACACTGATGCAATGCTGCATTTCTCCAAACCTGATGAAGAAACAAACTCATCCTGATCTACTTTTTTTTTTTGGTGAACTATTCCTTTAAGAAGTTTGATATGGTCTTGATGATTTAATGAATCATTGATTTGTATGCTTAAGGTCTAAAATGCTGTCTTTCCCAGGATTGTTTCCTTATTGCTCCCGATCACCAGCCGGGTGAGGATTCGGCAGAGCGGCATCTCTCCTCTCCATCTGGCAGCGGAGCACGACCACAGGATCATCATGAGTCTGCTGATTGAGTCGGGGTTTGATGTGAACAGCAAACTCTCTCAGGAGAGCTCAGCCAGGTTCCAGGACCAGCGTGTTTCGGCTCTGTACTGCGCCGTCGCCGCCAGGAACACACGGGCCGCTGATGTTCTGCTGAAGGCCGGTGCGAATCCCAACATGGACCCCTTCAGCCCGCTGCTGTTAGCGGTGCGTGACGGCTGTCTGGATACTGTGGCGCTGCTGCTGGAGCACGGAGCCCATGTGAACGCTCGCCCGACCGCAGGTTTCCCCGCAGTGCTGCTGTACACTCATCAGCTGGACGTCCTGCAGTATCTACTGGACCACGGCTGTGACGCTCGGGCCTGCTTCACCTGCAGCACACATCACAGCGGAGAGCACACACACTTCAGAAGCCACACGGTGAACACGAACGCCACTAAACCAGAGTTAAAGGTGATGATTCAGTGTCGTGAGGTATCCTTGACCAACGAATAGCCATTCTCTGTAGCCTCATGGTGTGTGTTAGGTCCTGACTGCCGAATCTGAAGTTCTCTGTTCTCTTTCAGTTCTGTGACTGGATCTCGTCCTCCTGCTGGAGACACTCAGCCGGTCGGGTCACTGATCTGCTGCTGGACTACGTAGGAAACGTTCAGCTCTGCAGCAGGATCAGAGATCTCCTTCTGGACCAACCGGAGTGGACGAGCATTAAGGAGAAAACATGTGAGTGCATTATGAACCACAGCACATTTGCCAGTAAAACCGCAGTAGAGCTGCACAGATGCTGGGATGATCATGCTATGATCGTTTGCCTGACCGCTGAACAGCTCAACTATTTAAAGAAACAGTCACACATTTATCATTTACATGATGTTGATCTTTCATGCTTTGTTTTGTACACCGAAGACAATTTAAAAAATATATATTTTTTTGTTTTATTTAGGAATCTATTTACTTTTCATAATATCTGAGTATCTATTAGCTTGTCAGTCATCTAGAAACTGGAGTTGCACAAACTTGAACACAAGCTCCTCGTGGTCAGCTGCAGGGCAGTGTTGTTGTCGTTGTGCGTCTGCATGCTGAGCAGGATCGATGTGATGTTTGTGTTTACAGCGTCTCCTCGAGCCCTGATGCATCTCTGTGGGCTGAGGATCCGAGAGCAGCTGGGGCCGCAGAGACTGAGATGTGTGGAGTCGCTGCCGCTGCCGGGGCCCATGCTGCGGTACCTGAGCTCCAGAAGCCGACGCTGCGCTCAGCACAGGGACCACCACCATCATCATCATCATCATCATCATCACTGAATGGAGAGTGAAACGGGATGGTCGTTTTGTGTATTTATAACTTTTAATTTATCTTGACGTTTTGTAAAGTATTATGTTTGTGCTTGATACACAGCTCTATGTAGTTGATCTGAAAATACTGAGTATGATGGTGGTGATCAGAATAAATGTGCTGCTTTGAGTGTCGGATCTTTAATGAACAGACAGTGTAAAACAGTCAATCAGTAGCACTTTTAATCAGCTAATGGATTACAGTCAGGTTTTTAGTGTGACAACATCTCTAACTCGACTAACACAATAATAAATAATCTCTAGCTCTCAGTGAAAGATGCTGTCTGAGCTGTGACAGAGACATGTTTATAAGATGCTCTCCAGAGAACAGAGTTTGTGCTGTGCTCACACGAACACTCTGAAATGGATAGTTTAATGTCTTCACTTTCACTAAAGCCCGTAAAAGTCAATACACGCGTGCTTTATTCTTGCTGCATCTGTGCTTTAAGTGCTTAAAGGCGAGTGTTCATTAAATCCAGCTGATTCAGTAATGGGTTAAAACAGAGAGGAGTTCGCTACAGTGTCTGAGGGGTGTTCGTCCTCCCGCTAAATGAAGCCGAACACGCTGAACACGGAGGAGGAAGAGGAGGAAGAGGAGGAGGAGGAGGAGGGTTTGGTGGGGATCGGCTTGATCACCACATGCGCGCGGCTGCTGAGGGGCGCGTCCGCGTGAGGCAGCAGGAAGCGGTACGGGAGCGAGCAGCACGAGCACGCGCACGCCGCGCCACCGGACAGCAGCGGGTTTGCGTTCAAGTCCTCAAACCCCGCCGTGCTTCTCTCGCCGTTCCCCGCGGGCGGTCTGACGTGTGCGGTGTGCAGGAAGCGCTCCAGACGCTCGCGGCTCCCGGATGAGGCCTGCGGCTCCTTCCAGAAGGACGCCGGGAGCTGCCGCTTGCGCATCGGCATCGGAGCCTGTCCCTGTCCCTGTCCCGACCGCGCTCCGTCCTCCGCGTTCAGACGCTCCTCTCTCCCGCTCCCGCTCCCGCTCCCGGGCCCGGGCGGCGCTTTATCCTCGGAGCGTTTAGCGGGCGTAGAGTCGCCGTTTCTGTGCGAATGGCAGCGGGGTATCTTGGCGTAGCGGTGCGAGAAGCGCTTGAGCTGCTTCTGCAGGTATTTGCGGTGGTCCACGGAGCGCCTGCAGGGCGCGGATCGATCCAGCGCCGCCTTGATGTCGCTCGACGCCAGATTGACGAAGTTCAGGAGCGTCTTGACCTCGCTGTCGGAGCTCGCCATCACGCAGACCTCAGCAGCACATCCTCACGCACTCCTGTGAAGCTCTGGTCAACCGTCGCAATACTGACTCCAGCTTCGCATCAGACCTGGCAAAGCAAAGCCAGAGTGAGGTCCAGCTCTGTAATAGCCCAAGCTCTCTAAGAAGCTGAATGGCTATAGACTGGGTGTAGTTATGGTGCTTTCCTGAGCCAATCAGAGACCTCACTTTCCTGACAATGCACCCCAATGAGCCGCCGAGATCCCGGTGTCGGATTCTTTGCCACCCCAAACTGTTGTCATGGAAATCCCCGAGAGGGAAAATAGCAGCAGATGCAATATTTCTTAGTGGAAACAAACGGTGGCCTGATCGTCCCCGCGCTCGCCGCAGTCTGTTTGTGATTTGGCGGAGTTTGGAGCGAGGGCCCCGTGGCCCTGAAGCCGCGCTTCACCTCGCTTCCAGAAGACGATCTGAAGTTGCGCTCTTCCCCTTACAGGGATGTCAGGAGCGGGTTCAGGGGAGGAGATGTGCGCATAACCATGGAGAGGGGGCTTGAGCGCTCAAGAATCTTGTCTTTCTGTTTGCCCCCTCAATCGAGCCACACAAAAGCTGAATTACTCATTCAAACCTCGCGGGACAAAGGCGGAGGAGCCGGAGAGCACTCTCACATTTGTAGTCAAACATTCGGAGACTTAAATCGAGTCGTCGTGAAAGAGAAAGAGTTAGACAAAGCCCATAGAATTGCCATCAGCAAACACTTTCCTGTGTCATATTAGTGGGTCTCCATGGCTCCTTCTGGCTGGAGGACAATAGCAGGAGTTTGCTCACTCGAATACTGTCACCCTGCCAACGGAGACCAGGGCCAGAAGCAGGACAATCCCGCAGAAAGCAGCGGCTCCGCGGGGAAGGGTGCGATAGAAAAGGAGAAAGGGACTTGTGAAATGCTAATTGAGCTCCGTCCCTCATTGAGAGGAGAAAAGAGAGAGAGCAGGGCTACCTATCGTCCCGTCGAGATGCCTCGTCCCCGCCAGAGGAGCTTCAGATGAGAGCCGCAGCGCTTAGAGCCCCGAGGGCCCTCTGTCCGGACAGCAGCCCTCCAACCAGACTTACGAGGATCTAAACCAGAGCTAACATGAGCTAAAACAACTGAAAATCAAGACGTTTTCAGAAGAACCACAGCTTCATTTATAGTCGTGCATAGAATGATCCTAAATGTGAACGCAAAACTCGTTCTGAAAGGTTCCTGTGAATGATTTCTAATAAAAGCCACGCCGTATACTCAGAAAATGCTCCCAAATGCATCCTGCTTTATAAACCATAATTCATCTTAAGCCCAAAGTGCAGAACGCCAAAAATATCCCCAAAATATCATTAGTAATGAGTTTCAGTGATTATTACTAAAGCATTTGCACATTTTCACATATAGTAATATTAATGTATATTGTGGTTGTCTACTTTACATTTAATAAACAATATTAGACTAAATTAATGGTATTTTAGTGGCAAATACTTTGCACACGTTCTTTAGTTCTTTACATATAATAAGATCATTTTCACGTCAGATCTTTATAAATCCTCAAATCTGACAGGATGAATCAAACGTGTATGTATTTTATAATACATATATTTGAGGATGCTTCATTTAAAAAGTGTTATTGCCATGTATTAATGATCTTTTAACCCTATGGGCAGTTTATTATGAATATATATTTTAGAAATATTTTTTGACATGTATTTCGTCAAGCTCTATTGTTTTTAATAGGTTAGAAATCGTAAGAAATATATATTTTTCTAAATGCCTATTGACTGGGAAAGTTGCTGCTGTGAAGACCACGGTGTGCTCCTCTTCCTCTTCCTCTTCCTCTTCTGTCCAGTCATACAATAGCTCTGCTCTTCTGAAGTGTGTGAATGAAGGCACAGCCTAATAAAAGCCTCTCTGACAGCCTGAAGAAGACGGATGGCTTCTGCAGGCACATCTAATCATCTTACAGAAACACAGCGCTGATGTACTGCTTGCTTCACGGCTAGAGAAACTATACGAGCTCTCTAACAACAGCACATCAGCAGACGGAGAAAGTGAGGTGCTTGTTTCACGTCAGATGAAAGCCAGATTCAGAAGCACGTCTCAAGTCGAGATGCTGCTGATGGCATAAAGATCAGCTTTAGCTCTTGTCTAAAGAACTCAGAAACATGCAGCGTCACACACTTTGTAAGAGTGATGTAAATGAAATAATGCAGCAGCTCTATTATTCCCTCTAGAGTTGAGTTCATTCGGTGTGATTCATTTTCATTCATTTGTTTTTCTCCATTTCGGTCTCATGATGGAGTTTGGTTTTCTTGCCACTGTCGCCTTTGGCTTGATTAGCTGGGGTTTAAAAGACACGTGATATTCAGAAATAGCTCTGATAATACTGGATGATAAGTGAATAATGACTCTATCAGGGGACAAAAACATACTTGCGTAAAGTAAAAAAGTGCAACTTTAAATTGTACTCGAATATTAAAAAGGAGAAATAAGCTATGACCTTTGACCTCATGCCCTTCGTTTTTATTTTCCCCTCCTCTTCCTCTTTGTCTCGCACTACCAGGATTCATTCTCCAAAACTCATAATCAGCTGTGCTCCTGTTCATATCATCCTGAGATTCTGAGCTGTGTGTCATCAGTTTAGCTGCTGAATGTTCACACATGCATTGAGTTTATATTGTGATTCCTGAGGTAGTTATATTGTGAGTTTGTGTCTTCTGAATGAGAACATGGTTAAACCTGTGCACATCTGTGCCGTTCCTGTGTAGAGTTTAGCTGAAAACACTGAGCAAACTGGAGCGTGTGTGCAAACAGGTGAAATGTGTTCAAAGTTTTGAGAAACGTGTCTTTGTTTCAGGAACTGTATGAATGGTTTGGAAAATAATCAGTTATAATGTGTTAGCAATCGAGAAAAACTGTAATTGCTCATGTTCACCATCAATGTCTCTGGAAACAGGGCAATGATGCACACATGCAGGGTTTCTGTTGAAGTGTCTGTCATGCTGAACATCTATATAAGGATCTGGAGGAGTTGAGAAGGACAATAAAGAGCCGCTACAACCAGAGCCAGAGCTCTGAAGCCCAACAGAAGATCTGAGGTATTACAATATAAATACAGATTCTGTTCAAATGACCTAAAAGTTTGTCTTGGACTGCTGTGAGCTCAAACATGCCCTATTCTTACTTCTGAAGCATGGCTTCTGTTACTGTGGCGCCTCCTATTGCCCGCTCTGCAGCAGAAGCACCAGTTTCATCTCAGTGAGCTCTGAAGGACACAAGAAAAGAAGACGGAGCAGAAACAGGCTTTTTACAAACCTGTGCTTTAGTCCACAGCAAGGTAAGATCTTTACATGCAATACACTTCACATTACAGCAGAGCAAAGAAATGGAGCCAAATAAATTCCAACAAACTGCACAAAAACAAGTCTTTCTAAGCGATAATATGACAAATGTGCTCAACTATATCAGACTGAACTGAGTTCTACCAGGTTTAGCCGTTTTTTAACATAACACTGGAATATGGAGAAGGTTTCATCTCATGTCAGAGGTGGAGTGGGTCTGTGTGTTGAAGCTGGAGCTTTTGAGAAGTCCGGTCTCGGTCGGAGCGTATCGTCCAGCGACCATATCTGCTCCTGCCTCATAGACAACAGCTCCTCTGCTTCTGTCAGCAGCTCCAGCTCCAGCAACACCACACATCACACAGATTCAGCTCCCAAAGAGTCACGCTTCATTCATTCACTGCCTGTGGCCCGTTTACACACCTTTCATCCACATCAGTATAATCTCTGTGAAATTTGTCCCACACTGACAAGAGGAAATTATTAGGTATTTTCAGTGAGTTTGAGGAAAATGTGTTTTTATGGATTACACTGGACTGTAGAACACAACTGCTCTCTAT